CAAAATACCCAAGAACCATATTTAATGCAAAGACATATTACCAGCTTTGAAATTTTAGTTGCACCTGTAATCCACCCTCCTTGTTTTAGCAAACCATTTATAACAAACTTGCCTCAAGCAAACCTCTATTTATTGTTTTCTAGTTAATACTTCATTTTGGGGCTTGTACAGTGTTTTGGTGAATTCTGTGTATTCATGTATTTTGAAGAACTAAAATTTAATGAAGTTCACTAGGACAACTGGAAAAGTTTTAAATGCAACATAAAAATGGGTAATTAAATTGGTAAAGAAAAAACAATAAATATCATGCTTTAACTCTCTCTCTCCTTTACCATTGTCTTCTAACTGATCTACTTTGGCTTGCTATGTTCATAAAAACAATTGCTACCAGAAATTGAGATACCTTCTCTCAGACTTGTGTACAATTGTGAATAACTGCCCAATTTAAGCTCAAAATACTTTGATGGCAACTTCCTGTTTCCCACAATTTCTAATGGAAGAGCAAATAGTTGGAGTTATAATAAAAATAAGTATAGAAAAATGAACTTAGTTTTGTGATACAAGTATATTTATCATCGTAATTACTATATGCTGCTTTACCCTAGGCATGGTATCGTCTTTATTTCTAAACTTAAGGAACTGTTGTTTTAAGAAGTTAAATATTTTTTAGATTATTGCAGTCTTGAATAATAAAACTCATTAGGTCACGGATTTCCCCAACTTTCTTAAGTTTTGGATACACATAGGTTGATGCCTCTCTACTATGCCCAGTGCTTGGAAATTATATAATCCAATATCTAAAAATAAGCTAACTTTCTCTAAGTCTCAGTAGTTGGGTTTGAAAGTGTAATTTAATTACATTTCACCCTGCCTTTTCTTCCCATTAATCATCCTCACATGTTCTTCCTTTCCTTTCTCTCCTTTCTGTTGGTCGAGGGAAGAAAAGGAGATGGTTTGGAAGGGTCCTTTTGTGAAACAAAGGTGCTCTCCTAGATTTTCTATCTTTAGTTCCTGAACATAGTAAGACCAAGGTATGTGACATATTATAAATCAGTGTTTTAATATATCTTCTAGCCTGTAGTTTGAAAAACTCTGCTTAACTTGACCTTTGTGTGCTTTACCCAATGGAGAAAATTTTAGGAAATATTACTTAAAAATAGGCAGATTGCATTTAGCCTTATGTGCATGTTCTTCCTTTTATGCATGTTCTTCATGTCATGTCATATCTTTTCTGACCTACTTCCTCTGAGATAAACTCAGGTCTGCTGAGTAAATGTCACTGGTAGGGTATCATCTGAGTAATAGAATATGATTATGCTTATCTCATGAAGTTTTAATTTGTCTTATAAAAGTGTGATGCATTATATATTCAGTTACAAATTAATGATTAATAATGAGATACAACACTGATAATTATCAAATTTTAGCATGCTAGTAATGAAGAGGCTATTTCTAAAATTTAAGATTTAATACATTATTCAATGAATAATCATTTACATAGCTCAAAATTATAAAAACTTTAAACTGTAGCAGTTTCCTTTGTAGCACTATTTCCTAGCCATCTGATTCTCTGCCATAGAGAAAAGTGAAGTTGAACCTTTACTAAAGTATTCAAGCAGCTATTACATGCATATATGTTTCTAGATGTATATACCTTTTACAATATTAAATAAGTAGTATAATACTATAGTAACACATATGGAAAATCTATTACTCCATAAAATCTTGCTTATCCAGCCTGAGATACAATTAGATGGTAGACTGCTTACATATCATGAATGATTCAATTGGATTTAATCTCTGGAACCACAAAGAAAGGACAACTTTGCTTATGTCTTTACTATGGCATGACATGCAGATGTCCTATAGTTTCTTAAAATATTACCTATAAATAAATACTTAGGTTGTTCCAAAATTCAAACTAATGTAAACAATGCTACATTGAGGTTTTATCCTTCATCTGTTGATGGGCATCTTAGCTTGCTCTTGAGCTTATATTGCTTATATATATCCAAATTGAAGTCAGTGGCTGCCTAACATTCACTATGTTATGTATAATGTTGTTGCATTGCCCTATAATTTTGATTAGTGTGGGTTTTCTTCTGCTAAGACAGATTTCCCCATTCCTAATTAAAATAACATTTTGAACCAGTTGTCATGGCATATGGCTATAATTCTAGCACTAGGAAGGCAGAGGCAGGAGAATTGTCATGAGTTTGTGGTCAGACTGGGCTGCATAGAGAGGTTGGGGACAAGCAGTACTACAGAGTGAAAACAAACTAATCACCCCCAACATCGACTAACAACCACCACCAGCTAACTAACCACCATACCAACAACTAACAAACCAACTCCACCAACAACTAACCAACCGCAACAACTAACCAACCACAACAATTAATTAACCACCACCAACTAACTAACCAATAACAACTAACTAACCACAACAACTAACTAACCAACAACAACAAGTAACCAAACAACAAAAGAAAACAAAAAAAATATACATTACAGTTCCTCACTGTAGACAATAAGATGTGCTACTTCTACTGAGTTATATTGTGAGAGTAAAATGACAAATACCTAATTTGCTTATTGAAAAGAAAAAGTATTTTATGTATTTATTATTATTGTGATTTTTATTATTTTATTATTATTATTTCAGGCCTCAGGTAACCTGAGCTGAAATGTGTCATATGTCTTTAAATGTCTGATGCTCCTATTCACCGAATATGGAGATTACAGTCATGCACCACCATACTCGACTGTTCCTTTGAGTTCTAAATCTATAGTTGTTATGAATCTGGACAAGTCAAAGTTTTAGTTTCTGCTGTTTTCAAGACTAGGTATTGACGAGGGGAAAGAGAAGTAGTCATGTATTTTGGCCTGACTACAATAAATACTGGCACAAATCCCCAATCTCTCTACAGTGACATCTGCTGCTCATCTGCTGTGGCACATGCCTTTGTCTTATCATTTTACTTGACTGGAAATCACATATCACATAGCTCTAATAAGATGCTAGGAAACAGTTTAGTGTCCTTTTAAGCAATGTTAAGCATTCCTTATAGAAGATATGCAAAGTAAATTAAAAGCCAGGAAAGAAACTTTGACCAGAATTCAGTGTGAATTGCTTGTCAAAAGGAATCCAAATATGCACTCAGTAGAGGGTGGGCCCAGGGGGACTTTAGTAATGTTCATGTTTCAGTTTATTTAAAATTTATCAACAATTCAATAAGGAAAAGCTTCAGAATAAAATCATGAATACCAACCCTGTGCTTTGCATGAATTTCTAGGCTGGCTCAGCTGAACAATGGACTTGTGGTAGTGCATTCACTTGCCAAATGAGTTCAGCGTTATCTTCTCATAACTTGCCCCTGTCAGACCTCACTGGGAGGGTTCTGCAGCTGTGTGGCTTTTCTCTGCAAGAATTGGATATCGCCTCTGAAGTCAATTTTGCATTTTAGTTTTCTATTTCTTCTCTCTTTTTAGAAGAGCTGCTTATTGTTTGTGAATTTCACCTCATGCACCCCAAGCCCATGCATCTCCCCTCCCCCTCATATCCATTCTCTACCCTCTCACCCTCTCTCCCACAACAGAGATAAAATAAAACCCTCATTGTGGAAGCTATAGTGTATCACACTGTGTACCACAGTATATGCTTTTGTGCATCTTTCTTTGTATTGCAGATGTTCCTTGAGGATGTTGGTCTGATTCAAGGTCTCTGGCTTCTGATACTCTATCAATATTGGAACCTCCCTGGGATTCATCTCAGATACCCTGTAATTGCCCTGTGTCATGGAGATCTTGTAATTGTGGATCTGTAGGAACAGCCCCTTCATTTACTTCAGCAGTTCTTCGATCGGATGAGGGGTAGATGTTAGGGTGGACTAATTCAAAGTCCTGGATCTGGGCCTGAGAGGTATCTTAGCTGCTCATCCCACTGGATTTTCTGCTCTCATGCCCTCATGCAGCTGACCTGGAAAGTCTGCATTCAGGACCAGCTCTACTGTGCTGCCCCAGTGAGGTGCAGAGCTGCTCCAGACTGCTGCTACCAAGTGCTGCAGCTGGTCACAGGCAGGGACAGATCTGCTGATGTCTTGACCCCAGGGCCAAATCTCTGCCTGCTGCAGAAAGGAAAGAGTTAAGGAAGAGGAAGAGGAGGAGGAAGAGATGTCTTCCTTATCCAAGTCTCCCATGCTTGTATCTCTGTGGCCTGCTTGCAACTCCCACAACAGGAGGGGTGTAACAGGATTGGAGGGGGATAGTGGACTGGAAGGACACTCTCCCAAATACTGCTTTCTGCTAGGGGAAGAGTCATCTTTCCTGATATCATGCCTCCAGGGCCAGCCCAGGTGAGGAGTGGGGTCAGTGCTGTACAGCTCTCAGATATCACCATATCCCCATGCAGCAGTCCAGACCAGGGACATTCACTTGGCCTTTGCTGGTTCTAGACCCCTGCTGCTGCAGGGTCACAGACTCAGACATGGTTCCCAGTGACAGCTCAGGCCAGGACCCCACCATGGTTCCAGGTGGCATCACTGGTTACTCACATCAGACTGTTCTTCACTACCATTGAGTCTCCAGTTCTGCCTCGCTTCATTGTGCCCACCCACATCCTTCTGTTTCTCTTCCTCTCCCATTTCTCTACTACTGACTTGCTCCTCTTAGTGCCCCCTAGGGTCTCTGAATGCCTGGAGTTGTCTCAGGAGGAGTGCTATGCCCTGACTGTGGATTATGATGCTGGGCAGGGATCATCTCAATCATGGTCTCCTTCCATGACCTGTGCGGGGACAGGACTGATGGTCATCCCAGGCTGATTCTTTTCACAGACCACCTGAGTGACCCTTTGTGAGGATTGTCTGTCTCAAGCTCACTCCTGCCCTGGGCTGCAGTCCCAGAGGTGTCTTCTAGTCTCTCACTTGCTCCCTGTCCAGGGAGCCTGTCCTGGTCTGCCTGTCACTAGACTGGTGGTCATCCCAGGCTTGGTTTCTTCAGGGAATATTAGGCTACTTATTAACCATTCAGATGTTCATAGGTCAGAGCATACACATAGGCCCTGTCCTCTCTGCCACCTACTGATGCCCATGTGACACAGAAGCCACACCTGAAGTGCCTCTAGGGTCATGGACATTTTAGTTTTCTTAATTTTCTCGTTCTTTCTCCTTTTCACCTCCCTCATCATGCTACTTAATAGATATTTTCCAGCTTCTTAAATGTTCCTTATTGAATGACAGATGCCCTTATATATGAAAAGCACAGATAGGCTTTGATGTAGCTGAACTTACTGTAAAAGAGTACGCCAGAATCCAGGTAGGAGTCATGATTTGAGCTGCTTCTGGAAACCATGTGAAAGTCCCTTATCCATGAGACTCAGGTCTCTAAGTGCAGGGAAGCTTCTTTTATGGTGGTGTGGGTGACTGCAGACTCATAACTAAAAATAAGAAACATTGAAGGCTACTGTGATAACCTATCCCTATTCCAAACAAAGCAAAACAATAAACCATTCCAGACAGGAAGCTATTGCAGGAGATCTTACAAATTACAATAAAGATGCTAAAGTACTGTTCTTCACAGTGAATGGCTTTTGGTAGAGTTCAGGTGTATAAGGAAGGACTCAGTTTCTTTAAGGGACTAGCCTCTGAGAGCTGGACCCTCCTCCAATGAGTATATAGGCCACACAAACTGGACTTGGTGAACTTTTGCTTTTTTGGGGCAGGGGATGGCACAAGGGTAGGAGGGTGGACCTGGGAAGAGTGTGAAGCTAGTGTAATTTGGGTGTGTTGTATAATATTCTAAAATAATCAATAAAATATTATGTTGGAAAAACATAAAAAATAAGTTCACCATTGTAGCTTTAAGAAAATTGTATTATTTTATTCTTTCAAATTCTTATTTGAATAACTAGACAAAAAGATTTCACGAATATAGATAAATAGCACCATCAATCAAGAAAAATCTAGTCAAGACTTGTTAAACATTATATTTAATAATAACAGAATATACATTGTTTTCCAACATTCCTAGGAAATGTATAAAGGCAACCTTTCTGAGCAGAAAACAAACATAACTAAATTTAAAAGTCTTAAAACCATCCATAACCATACTTCAAGTACTAAGGAATTAAATCATAAAATGAAATGAATATCTGTAATTCCTTTATGTTATGATTTCCTCCCATGTTAGAATCACACAGGTACGTGGATATGTGTCAATATCAATATAATATCCAGCATCCTGAGTTTCACAGGAATGTTTCTATACAAGAGTACAGAGTATAACAACTTCAGGTGCAGCTCCTCAAACTGCATTGTTTCAAACACTGATTCTCTGAGCAATGAACTTCTAAATAACTTACAATTCTAAATGGCAATGTCAAAAGAAAATTTAAAAGTTACATTGAGCAAAAATTAAAATAATTCAAATCAAATTTTCATGTAATAGCTGAAGCATTTTAAACTGTCAATATTAAATGCTTTTGTTGAATAAGCAACTGTAAGTCTCAAGGCAATAATCTAGGGTCTAGTATCAAGAATCTGGCATAAAGAGACTGAATTAATCCAAAGCAAGGACACCTTTGTGAGTATAGACAAAATAATACACAGTGCAGAAGTCCATAAAGGAACATGCTTAAGAGAGATTTATTCCAAAGATGTCTGAAAAAAATCAATGAATATAACTCAATATATATTCAATGAAAACAGAAGTAGCATGATCTTAATAAAAAGAAAATTGACAAAATTATAGTCTTCTAAAAGATCTCAGCAATCCAGACAAACCAGACCACATTAACTCTTAGGTCTAAAATCGTGTTCATGGAACAAGCCTGAGACGGTACTTCTTAGACTACAAAGAAGACTAGAATACTGAAGTCTGTACCTTTTCTATTAACACACATTGAAGTTTAATCCATGGAATGCAGTAGGTAAACTAAACAAATGGCATCCAGGGCAGAAATACAGAAATGCAACTGTCCTGCTGGTAGGTAACAAAGATAGTGCAGAAGCACCAAAAAATTAGTCAAAATGCCTTAGAAAGCTAATAATAATTTCACCTCAAACTCAATATATAATTAAAGTATTTAATTTTATGTTTATGTTCTAGCAATGAATCTGTGAACACTAAAGACAAACAAACAAAACCCTTCTATGTATACCATCTACAATCCATAAAGATAGCTTGTAGAATTTTACTTAGGAGGAAATTTGGCAAAACATCACATAAAATTGTAGGGGAGCTATACAAACACTGATGAAAGAGACTGTAAACATATATAAGATGGATCAGGTACTGGGGGAAACATGGTACATAGTAGAATATTTAGGTATCCCAAAATATCCATAAAGGCTTAATACAATTCCTATTATCTCATAACTTTTAGAGATATAAAGAAACTTGTGTTAAAGTATATAAAAAAGCAAAGCTATTGAAAAACTAAATTTTAAAGATTTTTACTTTTTTAAATGTGTGCCTCTTTGTGGATGTATGTATATGACCAGCATGAGTGCCCAAGGAGGCTAGGTGTGTCAGATTTCCTTGGAGCTGAAGTTATAGGTGGTGGTAAGACATCTGAAATAAGTGCTTTGTGTCTAACTTAGGTACTCTACAAGAGATGTCTGTGCTCTTAAGTACTGAGCTATCTGTCTAGACCTGAATGTTTAAAATTAGTAGTAGCAGGAGGAGGAAGAGGAGAAGAAGAAGGCAGAGGAGGAGGAGGAGGAGAAGGAGGAGGAGGAGGAGGAGGAGGAAGAGGAAGAGGAAGAGGAAGAGGAAAAGTTCTAGATAAACCTAGCGATAAAGATGAACTTAAAGATAAAGACTACATCAGTTAGTTTATTAGAGTTAGAATTCTTATGCAGTTTCTTCATAACCAAGATAAATTTATTGTTAAAACAATAGATGCACTGAAATAAAATCAGTGATATAGCAACACTGACTTTTGACTATTAAATTGAGAATGTAGCTTTCTGAACAAATGTTTTTGGTTAATTAGGTATCTACAGACTGCCAAATTGAACCTCAACCTATAGATTCGATCCAATGCAAAAATAACTGTAAAAAATAAACTGTAGAATAAAATTTTAAACTAAAAAATGAAACATTAAATATTAAGATATTAGTTATTATTTTTTATGTCTGAGATGCTGAAGAATCCCATGGATTTTAAAACAAAGCACATGTCCTATCACTGAGGTACATACCCAATGTTTTTCATACAATTATAAAGCATTTTAGAAAAATAGGATAAAATATTTTAGATAAAGAGCTATGGCAATAATTGTTGGTATAAATTTTTTTACAACCTACTTTTAATAAGAGTTCAATCTTTTATCTAGCCCAATACCCAGCAGAGGTAGTGGAAGAGAAGTTATTAGGAAACCGGGGAAGTGGATCTGTTCACCAATCGTTCTTTGGAGGCAAGCTTGATCTTCTTTGGTAGCAGTTCATTACTGCAGCAAACACCAAATATGACTCAGCAGCTGCAGACAAGTCCTCTAGGCAAGCAGACAGAACACAGGAACAATCAGCTTCAGTCCAGTCCTCTTGGCAGGGAGATACCCGGCAGCTGTATTTCATTTCTGAGGAAACTGACAGGCTCACCAACCAGCCTGAAGTGAGGCTACAGAAATGGTAAGCTGCCTCAGGAACACTGAGAGCAATTCTTGGGCAGTTTCTCTCAATGGTGGCACCATTTCGACAAGTTGAGCTCAGTAACTATGTAAAGCAAACCAATACATTCCTGCTGTTAGTGAAGAATAGAGAGGCAGAGCAAGCCAAACCAAGGCTCAATGCTAGTCTCCCAATGTTTGTGGGGGTCATATTTGTACTCCTTTATCATAAGTTATTTCCTGTGTCTGCTGCAGCACAGCATCCTTTCACCTGTGCCTGCTTCAGGAAAACGTTCTTTCCTGTGTCTGCTCCAACAGAACATTCTTTTACCTGTGTGCCCAGCAAAACATCATTTGACATGACTGAGTTTCCAAAGAAACTAGAAGTTTCCACTTCAAATAATCATTACATGTTACTGCAAACATCACAATATATTTTTAAAAAATTAGATTTTGGATTTCTTAAAAATTAGAAAAATCCTTTGCAGAAATTCCATTAAAACAGTAAAGAGCCTTGGTCATTCTGATAAGCCCTTAGATAGAAATAGTGATCACAGGAGTTTATTAACCTGCTTGTTCTTTGACTATCTCGGTTTATTGTCTTGCTTGTTCCTTGACTATTTGCATCTATTGTATTGCTAGTTCCTCAACCTAGAACTGACCTTAATACTTGCATGTAGTTTAAACAGTATAAAGGCAAAAAAGGAGGAGGGATGGGATAGGGGATTAACCTGTGTTGTCAGGTTAACTCAAAGTAGTGATCTACTGACATCTGTATCCCAATTAGCTGAGGTTATAGAAAGGTATCATTATGCTTGTCTAGAGGACTTATTTTAAAAGCAGTGCATTAAAATGATTATACACAGTTGACCAACTCATTTCCCTCGAGGGACACCAGGATGTTTAAACACATGCAAATCAATATCTACAATATAGCACGTAAACAGAATGAGGAAAGGCATCAAGGGAGATCATCCCAAAAAGAGCCTTGATAAAAATTAAACATTGCTACATTTTAAAAGCTGTGCATAAGGGGCTGGATTTATGGCTCAGCACTTGAGAGCAGTAGCTGCTCTTCTAGAGAACCTGGTGTTTCACAACCAGTTAGCTCTAGTCTCATGGGATCTGATACCCTCTTCTGGCCGCTGTAGGCACCATACAATCAAGAGGTACATAGACACACATGCAGACAAAACAGTCAAACTTTTAAAATGATAAAACATATAAAAACTATTGATAGATATAAACTAGTCATACTTCAACAAGTAAAATATTAAAATCTACATATGACAAATGTAGTCAATATTAAAGTGAATGAAAAAGTGAATGAATCTCCTTAAGAATCAAGATCAAGACAAGGATGTCTATTCTCATCATTTCTACTCAAACCAGAACTTGACACTTTAGTTACTGTAATCAAACAAGAGACAATAAAGCCATCAAAGAAACCAAATTATACCTGTTTGCAGGTAGCACAATTCTGTATATGTAAAAGTTTAATATGTCTGCCAAAAGACTCT